TAGGGAGGGGCAGTGCCTCTTGCTGTTCCATAGGCAAGTACCATGGTCTTGTAGTGGATGCGTGCTTCGACTGGAAGCCAGTGGAGTTTGCGGAGGAGCGGGGTGACATGGGAGAACCAGGCGGGCTGCAGCATTCTGGATAAGTTTCACTAGTGCATGAACCTGCAGGAGCGAGCCACTGCTTTGATGTTTGCAGAGAACGACAGGATATTGTCCAGGGTCATGCCAAGGTTCTTTGCACTCTGGGAGGGGGAGACCATGGAGTTGTCAACCATGATGGAGAGGTCTTGGAGCGGGCAGGAAGAGCAGCTCAGTCTTGTCGAGGTTGAGCTTGAGGTGGTGGGCCGACATCCAAGTTGAGATATCTGCCAGGCATGTAGAGATGCGTGTCGCCACCTGGGTGTCAGAAGGCAGGAAGGATAAAAGTAGTTGAGTGTCATCTGCATAGACCATGTGAGAATATGATGGATCCGAGTGACTTGGTGTATAGAGAGAAAAGGAGAGGGCCTAGAACCGAGCCCTGGGAGACACCAGTAGTGAGAGTACATGGTGCAGACACAGATCCTCTCCACATCACCTGGGAGGAGCGGCCTGCCAGGTAGGATGCAATCCCTGAGAGGGTGGAAAGGAGGATTCTGGTGGTTCATGGTGTTGAAGGCAGCAGATGGATCTAGGAGGATGAGAACAGAGGAGAGAGAGTCAGCTTTGGCAGTGCAGAGAGCCTCCGTGACACAGAAGAGCAGTCTCAGTTGAGTAACCCGTCTTGAAGCATGACTGGTTAGGGTAAAAAAGATGTGAGTGAGATAGCGAGAGAGTTGGTCAGAGACAGCATACTCAGAAAGAAAAGAAAGAAGGGATACCGGTCTGTAGTTTTTCAAGTCAAAGGAGTCAAGTGTTGGTTTCTTGAGGAGGGGAGCGACTCAGGCCATTTTGAAGTCAGTGGTCAAGGATGAGTTGATGAGGGAAGTAAGGAATGGGAGAAGGTCTCCAGAGATGGTCTGGAGAAGGGAGGAGGGGATGGAGTCGTGCAGGTTGTTGGGCGGCCAGACCTCACTAGTCGCAGGATTTCATCTGGAGAGAGAGGGGAGAAAGAGGTCAAGGCATAGGGAAGTTCTGTGTGAGCGGGACCAGTGGACTCAATAGGCTGAGTGAATGAGGAGCGGATGTCGTCAACCTTCTTTTCAAAGTGGTTGACAAAGTCATCCGCAGAGAGGGAGGAGGGGGTGGAGGATTGAGAAAGGAGGAGAAGGTAGAAAATAGTTTCCTAGGGTTAGAGGCAGGAGCTTGAACTTTAGAAAGTGGCTTTAGCAGTAGATACAGAGGAAGAGAATGATAGGTCTTCCGGAAGTTTAGTTTTCCTCCATTTTCGGAGCAGGAGGGGAGGGCCGAGCCGGCCGGGAGGAAAGGGGGGACAGTGCGAGTCATAGGATGCAGAAAGGGAGGAGTGTAGGGCGAAGAGGCATAATCAGGAGACAGGAGGGAGAAGGATTTAGCAGAAGGGAGAGATGATAGGATAGAAGAGGAGAGAGTAGTGGGAGATAGAGAGCGAAGATTGCGACGGAGCTTGACCATCTGGGTAGGGGGTGAGTGGCTAGGGTTGGAGGAAAGGGAGACAGAAAAGGAAACAAAGTAGTGATCAGAGACCTGGAGTGGGGTTACAGTGAGAATAGTAGGCGAACAGGCTCTAGTAAAGATGAGGTCAAGCGTATTGCCTGCCTTGTGAGTGGGAGAGGACTGGGAAAGGGTGAGGTCAAAAGAGGCAACGAGGGGAAAGAGAGAGTTGGAAAGAAATTAATCGAAGGCAGATGTCAGGAGGTTGAAGTCGCCAAGTACAAAGAACGGTGAGCCATCGTCAGGAAATGAGCTTATCAAGGTGTCAAGCTTATTGAGGAACTCTAAAGATACCTGGTGGGCGATAGATGACAACAATGTTAAGCTTGAGTGGACAAGTGACAGTGACGGCATGGAATTCAAATTAAGAAATGGACAGGTGAGAGAGGGAGAAAATTGAAAATCTCCACTGAGTAGCCCTGTGCTAACACCGTGGCGACCAGATGCTCTTGGACTATGAGAGAAAACATATTCAGATGAAGAGAGAGCAGCTGGAGTAGCAGTGTTCTCTGGGGTGATCCATGTCTCCGTCAGGGCCAAAAAGTAAAGGGACTGAAGAGCAGAATAGGCTGAGATGAACTCGTCGTTCTTGCCCACAGATCGGCAGTTCCAAATGCTGCCAGATACCAGGAATTCCACATGGGTTGTGCGCGCAGGGTACACTAAATTAGAAGGATTGCAGCCAAGGGGTGGGGAGCGTATGTAAAGCCTACAGGGAGAGGAGCGAACAGGTATAGAAAACACACACATAGTTGCCAAAGCTACAAAAGAGCAAAATGAGATCTGAAAATAACTAGGTAAGATACTAAAGTGAGAGAGTGGTGTGGAGCCTTCCTCTCTTTCCATCCTCGAATAACTCTGCAGAACCGTCTTTGTTTCGGTGACGGTCTTAGTTTTGCGACGAGACCGCTGCTTACAGCTGCCGCTGAGAAAACAGAAGAGACTGAAGTACTAATACTAATTCCTAATTGCCTTGCAAAGGTTTAGAGCACACTTCCCAGTACTACTTGCCTAGGAGAGGAGAAACCACTCCCCCTCCAATACAGCCACTGATTACCAAAACAACAACAGTCACATATTGCCCTGCCCCGTAATCCTGGTTGTTGTGTCAACAATCATCTGCAAGTTATGAGCAGTCAGCAGTTCACACACCAAGTAGGCTAATGAGAAGACAGGCAGCACTTAAAGTAGATGGCCCCATCTAGCAAAAAGACTGTACTAGACAACAACAGATAAAGACAAAAATGATACTTATCACTCCTGGAGATATCAGGAGTCCTCTAGCTACAGAATGAAGCGGTAGGGGGCAACCTTTACACATTTGCTGGCTGAGTTAGTTTATCCAAAGTGTGTGCGATTTTATTATGATAAAACTACATCATTTAATTATGTGTAACCATGCTATGAATTGAATTTAGATATTGGGCTGTTATATCAAATTGATGACTTTAAATAGAATGATCAAAATAAAAATCATGCTGTTATTATGTAAATAAACAATAAAGTGGTCACTTTTGAATAAGAGGTGAGACATTTTCATGAGAGATACAAGAAAGCCCTGAAGGTATATGTGGAAAATGGACATTCAACATTCAGCAGGGGCCAGAAGCCAAAATGATTATAAACCACTTCTTTCAATACTGAATGCCTCAAGCATTCAATCATAACTGGCCACTGGGTTTCCAGGATAACACTGAGAATATTTTTTTATTGTATAGCTTTAGAACTCAAACCATGATAGGGTGTTTTGTTTGTTTGCCACAAAAAGGCAATTCAGTCCTCTTCCAACAGACAAAATGAATCTTCTCCGAGAGAGAGAGAGAGCGAGAGAGAGAGAAAATGTGGTTCATTTGAATTCTGCTCAGAGTCAATTCTACTGGAATGACAATTACTTTGATGTAAATAAAGATGGGTAAGGTACATGGGAGGAGATGATGCTGTCTGTGCAGAGATTCATTGTTCCTCCTCGCTGCTACTTGGTCTGAGTGTCTGGGTAGATATTGGTCACGTTCCCCTGCTCCGATGTTGCATGCATCAACCAATGGTTGCGTACCACGTCATTGACTGGCAGATTGCTATAACATATGATGTGGTTTGCTGATACGTAAAATACCTATCTAGGCGTTGCAAGATCTAGCAGGCGTCAGCAACACCTGGGGAGGGGAACGCGCCCATTTCCTACAGGCTCCTGCTTCAATAGACCTGTCCTGGTGAGGCTGGATCTGTCATTAAAGCCATGACGACTTAACTGACACAGGTTGGTCAACTATCAGGGACAGGTTGGTAGTAGCTACGAAGTCTCACATGAGTAGGCCTATACTGTCTAGTTTGGCATTAAGTGAAGACATGGACAAAAATATAGTGTTATGTTATATGTGCATGCATAATATTATATTTCTCCATATTGCAGCATAAATGTCACAACAAAACTTTTTAAGAGGATGCAGGGAAATGTCTGCACACTGAGAAAAGTCTTGACAGGAATTATTTCGAAAATAATATATTTTTAACGGAATAAGTCCTAATTTAGGCCTACCTCTATCGTTTACTGTAGCCGTAGCCTACCATGATCAAACCAATTTCAGCATTCAGTGGGAAATTGAGATTAAAGTAAAAATTGTTGTGACTATTAATACCCTACTACTTTAATATGAAGCATATACTATGCTGAACAAAAATATAAACGCAACATGCAACAATTTCAAATATTTTTACTGAGTTACAGTTCATATAAGGAAATCAGTCAATTGAAATATATTAATTAGGCCTTAATCTATGGATTTCACATGACTGGGCAGGGGTGCAGCCATGGGTGGGCCTGGGAGGGCATAGGCCCACCCACTTGGGAGCCAGGCCCAGTCAATCAGAATGAGTTTTTCCCCACAAAATGGGCAACAGCTCTGGTGGACGTTCCTGCAGTCAGCATGCCAATTGCACGCTCCCTCAAAACTGGAGACATCTGTGGCATTGTTTTGAATTACAAAATGGGTGCACCTGTGTAGTGACCATGCTGTTTAATCAGTTTCTTAATATGCCACACCTGTCAGGTGGATGGATTATCTTGGCAAATGAGAAATGCTCACTAACAGGGATGTAAACAAATTTGTGCACAACATTTGAGAGAAATAAGCTTTTTGTGTGTATGGAACATTTCTGGGATATTTTATTTCAGCTCATGAAACATGGGACCAACACTTTACATGTTGCGTTTACACTGGCAGGGCACGGAGACCGTTGGGGACCGGGTCATCCTAAAGACTGTTTACTAATGATGTGGGTATATTTCTCAGGCATCCGGTCGAAAATCGAGCTTTGTTAATCTGTGGGAGTGTCTTGGCTCAGCAAATGACCTGTCTCGCAAGTCTGCCAACATACCACGCCCACTCAGCTGTTTCCTTAACCGTCAATAGGTAAAGTTTTTCTCTGTCGCGCTACGCTAATGTATCTACTTCTATTCAACACACCAAAACGTTTGTTGACGGTATTCGGAGGCCCACTCGTCTAAACCTCCGTATGTGTCAGCCATGTCTCTATCGGACCAGAGCCAACAGTGGTATCCCACCAGCGTACAGGTAACTGTGCTTCAGGCAAGAAGCCTGAGGATAAAGGGAAAAAATGGCACCAACGACGCATACGCCATCATGCAAGTGGCCAAGGATAAATTCGCTACATCGGTGGTAGAAAAGAGCGTGGCACCGGTGTGGAAAGAGGAGGCCACGTTCGAGCTGCCGCTCTTCCACAACGGTAACGCAGAGAAGTGTACGTTGCACGTCCACGTAATGCACCGGGCTCTCGTGGGACCGGACAAGTTGCTCGGGCACGCAGTCATCAACCTGTTGGAGCTCAGCGAGGTTAAATCCCGCAATAAGACTGAGTGAGTGTTCGCTTCTCTGTCCAGTAATAATCACCGTTTTCTATTTCTACATTGCTCAAGAAAGTGTTTGCCGTTAGTTACACAATTCCTTTTAAATGAATAATCTCTGTAGTTGTAATAGCCGATCTAAGACAATAATGGAACACCACAATGTCACTATGTTGGCCTTCAATAGGGGTTGTAATTATACTGCTCCATATTCCACTTGTGTAATAATCACCCAACTCAACATGCAACAATGTTATATAATAATTACAACATTACAGTAAACGAGCAGGCTATAGGCCTAAAGTGTTATCCCACATGGTTTTACTCTGTCAATTCACTCAATATAGTGCAACCTTTTGTTAGAGCCTATGGAATAATATTGATTTCTGCCCTGTTGCTTTTTCATTTCGCTCCTCTTGCCTCTCATTGAGTGACACTGTTTGTTTTGACAGCCTACTGATTTAGCTCATAACAGTGCAGTATGCCAGCAGCACAACACCCCATTTAAGACCATTACCAATACCTCACAAATTGCCTGTCTCCTGTGAGTCATTAGTTCATAGCAGTGTACTCTCCCTTTATGAATATTTGTAAAGGAACTAATTTAGTTGATCACAGGCCTTCTCTCCTAACCATTGGTTTGCAGTACTGAAGCCCTAAAAGAGGGGTTTGTTTGACTGTATTCTACATGTTATAAAAAAGGGAACGTTACATACATCTGTATATTTCAGTTGTACATATATTGTAATGAAGAGCTGAGTCAGCAGTAAAAGCCTCTGTCAAGCAAAAGCTGAGCCCTGCGGTCATCTGTTCCGAGACGCTAGGTTCTAGAAAAAACACCCTGTTGAAGTCAGGAAGGAAATTAGCGGGAGGGGGGCAGGAAGAGTCAACCAGGGGTCTCAGACCTGTGAGGTGTGTGTGACCATGACTACCCTCTTGGAGGTTACAAAATGAACAATGAACACAATGCTGTGACTGCAGTTTCTTATCTTCAGTGAAGCACTCAATGTGAATCCAAACAGAAAGGCAATAAAAAACAGACCGGCTGCTCACAGAATGACAAATATGATGAATAACTGTATGGGGTGAGAGAGAGCATCACCTCACTATTACTGCAGCGTTGTTGTTGAGAGGACAGCATGGGGAAACGTAGGGCAAGGTTAGTAGTGGTGGCAGCTTGCATTGTTGTCCATTGTTGTTGTTGTTATTAATTCACAGAAAAATAGAGCAATACATTTGGGAATCGTAAAACAATGTGGTCAGGCTTGTTCAACCAGTCCCTCTAGTTCAGGGCTCTCCAAACCTGTTCCTGGAGACCTACCCTCCTGTAGGTTTTCGCTTCAACCCCAGTTGTAATTAACCTGATTCAGCTTATCAACCAGGTAATTATTAGAATCAGGTGCGCTTGATTAGGGTTAGAAGCACTTTCGAGTATGCGAGCACAGACGTTAGCTTCGCCTAGCTGCGTTCTGCAAGGAGCAAGCCAAACCTATGTATGGGGACGCCTTTAGAGAGTATAGCAGCGGGGGTTTAGTAATTAGGCTGCAGGCTTATTTATTTAGCAACTTCTTGAGAAATATTACATCTCACTAAGCTGTCTCTGGGTATTTCAGTCCTCACACAACATGTGCCCATGTCTTATTTCGCTGCTATACACAGCACCAGGTGATGTGCAGTGCACGCACTTACGTCTGGTAAGTGGACACTCTTGAAAGTGGATATTGCTGGGTCTTGTAATGTGTAAGGAGAGCACTTCTTGGTCACTGTATTATAATACATCTCCTTTGGTTATTTCATCTTTCTGATTACCTATAAAAAGATCCATCATGATTTGCCATCTCCTTATATAGGATCAGACTTCTCATGCCCTATGTAAAGTGCATTCTCCACGATGATAATTGGTTTCATGCTACATGCTTTATCTGAGTAGGAGTTAGTCTGGAGACAGGGCTGAGGATCTCCACGGCTGATCGTTTTTTCCCCCTGTGTGACAATGATAGGTTCATGTGACATTATTGTTATCGTTGCCCTTTAGCTCAAATGCCAAACTTCAGCAGAATATTTTTTTTTCTCAGACCTGAATTCTTCCCAGAGCTACTTTCATATGCCATCTTCATAGCCTCTCAAAACTGTTTTTCTATGTCTGGTGAAAGGATGTCCATGGTAACTCACAGGGGGGCAGTATGAAAAAAATGTATGCACTAACTGTAAGTCGCTCTGGATAAGAGCGTCTGCTAAATGACTAAAATGTAAATAAAACCTGGTTCATACACCTTATGCATTGTATACAATACTATCAACCTTCGTTTTGAGTTCTTCCGAAAATGTCTTAAAACCAATGAGCAGTATTAAGGGGTTTTTCTCATTGTGTGATCTGCTCTGCTTTCTCAAGTTTGACTATGGAGTACCTGATTTCTGCGGAGGCCAAATCCAGACTTAGCCTCGCATTCCAGAGTGTTTAACGTGAAAAACAAACCAATTATTGACCCTGTACTCCCCCTCTCTCTGGTGGCTTTACCAGCTCTCAAACAGACCGTGTTATCTTTGACTTAAAGCAGAACTCAGTGTTACTGTTTACACAGCCTCATTTCCAATTCTCACTAACCCCTGCCAGCTGCAGCGAGCTTCTACCTCTCTCCCAAACAGATGCAGTTGATTCAGATTCATTCAGACATTTAGTTTTGTCTTTTTCTAAAGGACCAGCTGATTTGCCTTTGAAAAATTAAATGTTTTATTCAAAGAGCAGTTTCATACATTGACACAGCACAAATATCACTCTGGCATTGATTGGTCCTCTGTAGCTCAGCTGGTAGAGCACGGCGCTTGTAACGCCAAGGTAGTGGGTTCGATCCCCGGGACCACCCATACACAAAAATGTATACACGCATGACTGTAAGTCGCTTTGGATAAAAGCGTCTGCTAAATGGCATATTATTATTATTATTATTATTATTATTATTATTTCTTAGAGATATCAGCGTCAAATCCCTTCCGTGTATGTTACTGATCTGACACATGGATAGATGTAGGGCAGTTGTACAATGGGGACCATAAACTATAGACTGTTCTTGAATATTAATGCCTCATGTTGCATATTGTATTAATATAACATCGAGTTTGTTTACATGCACACTAATAATTCGATATTAAACTGATTATGGCAGTAGGCAGAGTATGGCATTTAGTCATGGAAACACCTTACTCTGTTTATCATAATCGGCCTAAAGTCATAATCTAAGTAAGCATACGCCGATTAAACACATGGATTTCTGAGCAATCTTTCGAATTATTAGTACATGTAAACGCCTTAGAGTTAAAGCGGTGTATTTGATCTGCGCATGTGCTAGCACGAACAGCGCGAGCGTCCCTCTTTCGTGAGTTCGGTAAAACTGAAAGTATGCATCTTAAATAGTTTTGACATACAAACTTTATATGTCCCAACTCAGAATCAAATAGGCATCACAAAAATAAAATGGTTGCTGTAGTAGAACGTTTATATTGATTGGCGATTTCCTGCATTTATCTAAGTCCCACCAGGTAGCCTGATTTCAGATGTGTCCATGTAAACAGGATTATTAGGGAAATAATAATTATTTCAAAGCATGTAAACATTTTAAATTGAACTGTTATATTAACCTGACTATTCATAATTATCGTATTATTGTGTGCATGTAACCGTACTCATTATTAATGCATGATTGTCATGAGGATAAATTGTGATATGGAAAAGCAACATGGCAGCACATTTTTCTTCATCTCTTTTTTTATCACAATGAAGGTACATGGAGTATCTCCTCTGTGTCAAGGGCAAGGCTGTTCATACACAGATACTTTATAAGAGTGACTGCACCAAACACAATTTCATCTGCAACCTTAATATGGTGGCCATATTTTGAATACAGTGAAAAGGCTTTCAGTTAAGTCTCTCTCTGTGAGTGTATGTGCGTGTGTGTGAGGGAGAGACTGCTGCATATTGTGATAAGAAAGGTTTGTGTCAAGGAAGGCATTGTTTTATCAGCCATTCAGGGTTACACAGGAAGAAGTATGTGCTGAAAGAGGCGTTAGAATAATAATAGCTTAAATGCTGACTCACACTGTTCCATCTCTTCCCATTAGTCTATCCTGTCTGTGAGCAGCAGTAGTATTGCACATTGTGCTACACACTGGGATATGAGACTGCTGCGTTCAGATGATACGTTGATGCCGGGCCTTTTCATATTAAATTACCCTTTCATTGACTGTTCTATCCTGTTCTTAGTCAGCTAACACCACTACAGTTAACTGTAGCTGTTGTAACTTCCTTTTTACTGATGCTCAGTAAAGTTACTTCTCCTCTAGTTCTTCTCCAATGCCCGGCCCTTCCCTAGCAGGGTGTTGTTCACAAGGGTCTGTTGAGAGGCGTGATATGACGTCCACACAGGCATCAGTGAATAACTACAAGGATTGTCTGGGTGTGTCCTGTTCACTGAGAAACTTTTAAAACAACTTGACATTTTCACAGAGAGAAGAATGAACTGTCCTTTGTTGTCTAACGTCAATTGAATTACAGAGCTATATTGGGATAAAATAATAATTGGCTTCCTGGAAGTGTCCTATCTTTACTGCTTTGGCAATGTAACTTGTGATCGTGCAGCTGTAAGGCCAGAGAGTTGGTTTAGAATGTTTATGTTTACAAAACTACTGAGCTACTAAGTTTAAGGTACTGCGTACAGTATAACGGCTGTGACTGCTATGTGGCCCCTAAGTAGATTCCACAAGCAGGCATGTATTTCCCTGACGTGCTGGCTCAGTACTCCAAACACTAGCAGGGAGGTGTAGAAGGAAAGCATGAGTCTTTGGGTTGTTGTCAGTCACTCAGGAACATGAAAGGAGGGTGTGTGAACCTGCCAAATATTCCAGACTGGATCAGTATTTTTAGACTCAATGGCCTCCCTTATAAAGGCATATATTTGTTAACTAAACAGAATACTTGTTTACCCACACAGTAAGGTACATCAATTATGTAACTTCTCTATTTACATTTCACAGTAATTGACTCAATGGAATGGAGGGACAGGTTGAACAAGCCTGACCACATTGTTTTACGATTCCCAAATGTATTGCTCTATTTTTCTGTGAATTAATAACAACAACAATGCAAGCTGCCACCACTACTAACCTTGCCCTACGTTTCCCCATGCTGTCCTCTCAACAACAACGCTGCAGTAATAGTGAGGTGATGCTCTCTCTCACCCCATACAGTTATTCATCATATTTGTCATTCTGTGAGCAGCCGGTCTGTTTTTTTTATTGCCTTTCTGTTTGGATTCACATTGAGTGCTTCACTGAAGATAAGAAACTGCAGTCACAGCATTGTGTTCATTGTTCATTTTGTAACCTCCAAGAGGGTAGTCATGGTCACACACACCTCACAGGGCTGAGACCCCTGGTTGACTCTCTTCCTGCCTCCAACACTCATTTCCTTCCAGACTTCAGCTGGGTTGTCGAGGAACAGACAACCTCAGGCCTTATGGGTTTTGCTTGACCGAGACTTTTAACGCTGACCCAGCTCTGCATTGCTCCATTCTAAACTATAAATGAATGATTGTTTTGACTGTTATCACAATATATGTACAACTGAAACATACAGATGTATGAACAGTACCTTCTTTATAACATAATAATGATATGTAAAATACATAGTCAAACAAACCTGCATTTTTTGTTTTATACAACAGGGATTTTTTTTAGAGTCATTGAACCAATCAGCATGACAAGAAATGACTTGATGCAATTCTTTGTTGAACAATTCTTACAATGAGCCTATCTCTTTGTACTCTGGCCTTCTTTTTCTCAGAAGGCATGTTCTATACAAGTGAACCAGTAATAACCACTAATTTTGTGATGTTCTGATTTTATATTTAACGAACTGCATTCATAAAAAGACAAGTGCCTGGGGATTTTGTAAGTCATTAATTAAATATGAACCTAAATTGAGTGTAATTGTAACAGACTCCAACTATATTTTACATGCATAGCTTGTAGCAGGGGTGGAAATTGAGAAAGAAAATCACTCCTAGAACCCTCCAATGTAAAGTCCATGAATTCAGTGTAGAAATCTGCATTTTCACATTGCAAAATGATTTCACTCCCAGAACCCGGTTCCCCCCATTTCCACTCCTGGCCTGTAGTAGTCTATGCAGTACATTTTAAGGCATGGTGTTCAGTCTTAACATACAAGAGTAGTGTGCTACAACTTAGGAGGATGGAAATGATGAAAACATAAAGACAGACACAATGTTCCTGGTGGTGACCAGTAGAATGCTCAAACACTGACTCACCAGATCGCTTACCACATCATCAGTCATTTCCCCTGGCTCCTCCAGCCTTGGGCCCAAAAAAATAAAGTCTACTGTACTGATCACTGTTTCCATGGAAGGACTCTTTAACATTTCAAAGGAAAAATAGCAGCAGCCCCAACTTACTGGAATGATTCTCTTGGTGGTGAGGCCCAGGGGCTGATGAATACATGACACGTTCTTTGATCATCAGCCTTCCTCTGCTTATGCAGGCTGTGGTTGTTCAGACAGATTAGTCTGCACAGTGTGTGTGTTATCTGAAAAGGGTGATGAATGATTACAAATGTCAAATTATTTCTGAGCGCCCTTACAAGTTATTGGAGAAGCTCAGCAGTAATCTAAACAAATAAAACATTATGTTGGTTCTTTCTTTCACTGCCTCACATTCATACACCTTGAGTTCTTGAGACATCTCTCAGATAAGAACAGCATGTGTTTCATACCAATTCTATTCAATGAAATTATTTGATAAATAATACAGACTTTCTCTTAACAGATGGCATAAGCTGTTGGACAAGGCAGGCAAGCCAGACAAAGACAGGGGAGAGGTGCTAGTGGACATCCAGTTTATGAAGAATAACCTGACAGCCAGCATGTTCGACCTCTCTGCTACAGACAAGCCGCGCTCCCGCCTGGGCAAGTTCAAGGACAAGGTTCGAGGCAAGAAGAAGGAGGGTCTGTCGGACTCTGCGTCTGCCGTGGTGCCGTCCTTCACCCAGGTTCTGACGGACAGCGAGGGAGAGGGGGAAGGGGGTGCAGATAAAGGAGAGAAAAAGAAGAAGAACAATCTGAAGTCTCTGTTTTCTCCCAAGTCTAACCTGCAGCGTCATGGACTCTCTCAGTCCATGTCTGTCCTGGGCCCTCTGCCTGAGAAGAACTCCTCACTGAGTGGCAGCCGCTCCTCAGGCCTCAATGTGGACTCCTCTGAAGGTGAGCATCATCACAGACTGTCCTTCCATTTTTAAATATGCAATTTATTTAATCGAAAACCTATGTTACACTATGTGTTTACAAATCAAACTTTCCCCCCTGTTTTTTCTTTCTCATCCACAGGTAAAAATAAATTCAAGTTTCTGACCCATAAGCGCACAGGCAGTTCCGACAGTAAGGCTTCTCAGGGCTCCCTGTCTCTGGGGCGCTCTAAGGTCCCTGCCCCGCTTGCAGAACAGAGTAACCTGTGCATCAACGGCAGTCACGTGTACACAGAAGAGCCCCAGTCTCGGAGCGCACGCACCGGCTCCACCTTCAGCCTTGCCAGCTCAGGCCGCGGCTCCATGGAAGACCTGCGCAGGGCCCAGGGTCGTAAGAGCTCCAGCACCTCCATGGACTCTCTCATGGCCCTGAAGCAGCCCTCACCCTGGGCAGAGGAGGAGGAAGAGGAGGAGGAAGAAAGATTTAAGATGGATGAGGAGATGAAGAGAAAGGAAGAGCAGGAGAGAAAGAAGTTAGAGGAGGAAGAGGGGATGAGGAAGGAGGAACAAGAGAAAAGGAGGATTGGGGAGGAGGAAGAAAGACTTCGGTTTGAGGAGGAGAGGATACGGATTGAAGAGGAGAAGATGAGGTTTGAGGAGGAAGAGAAAAGAAGGAAGGAGGAACAGGAAAACAGAAAGAGGATGGAGGAGGAAAATATTAAGGTTGAGGATGAAAGTAGAATGATGGAAGAAGAGAGGAAGAGGAGACTGAAGGAGGAGGGAGAGGAGAGGGTGAAGAAGAAAGAACAGGAAATGAGTAGGTTAGAGGAGGAAATAGAGGAACAAGAGAGGTGGGAAGAAGAGGAAAGAATGAAGAGGGAGGATAGCCTGAGAAAGGAGGACGAGAGGAAAATGAGGGAGGTGGAGGAGAGGGTTAAGGAGGAGGAAGAAAGGATTAGGAGAGAACAAGAGGAAGATATGCAAAGAAGGGAGGAACGGGAGAGGAAGATGAGGGTGGAGGAAGAAAGAGTGAAGAGAGAGCAGGATAGGCTGAGGGAGGAGGAAGAAAGAGTGAGGAAGGCCGAGGAGGATGATAGGCTGAGAGAGGAAGAGAGAAGGATGAGGGAGGAGGAAGAAAGAGTGAAGCAAGAGCAGGATAGGCTGAGAAAGGAGGAAGAGAGAAGGATGAGAGAGGAGGAAGAAAGAGTGAGGAAGGCCGGGGAGGATGATAGGCTGAGAGAGGAAGAGAGAAGGATGAGGGAGGAGGAAGAAAGAGTGAAGCAAGAGCAGGATAGGCTGAGAAAGGAGGAAGAGAGAAGGATGAGAGAGGAGGAAGAAAGAGTGAGGAAGGCCGGGGAGGATGATAGGCTGAGAGAGGAAGAGAGAAGGATGAGGGAGGAGGAAGAAAGAGTGAAGCAAGAGCAGGATAGGCTGATAAAGGAGGAAGAGCGAAGGATGAGAGAGGAGGAAGAAAGAGTGAGGAAGGCCGAGGAGGATGATAGGCTGAGAGAGGAAGAGAGAAGGATGAGGGAGGAAGAAGAAAGAGTGAAGAGAGAACAGGATAGGCTGAGAAAGGAGGAAGAGGAGAGGAAGATTAGGGAAGAGGAAGAAAGAGTGAGGAAGGCCGATGGGGAAGATAGGCTGAGAGAGGAAGAGAGAAGGATGAGGGAGGAAGAAGAAAGAGTGACGAGAGAGCAGGATAGGCTGAGAAAGGAGGAAGAGGAGAGGAAGATTAGGGAGGAGGAAGAAATGCTAAGGAGGGAAGAGGAGGATGATATGCAGAGAAAGGAAGAAGAGCAGAGGAAGATTAGGGAGGAGGAAAAAATAATAAAAATGTTAGAGGAGGAGAGGCTGAGGAAGGAGGAAGCAGAAAGAGTGAGGCTTGAAGAAGAAAGGGAAAATGAACAGGAGAGAAGGAGGGATAAGGAGCAGAGAGAACTGATGGAGGCGAAAGAGAGATTTAGGGTGGAGGAAGAAAATATGAAAAAAGAGGAGTTGAGACAGGAAGAGAGGATGAGAGAGGAAGAGAAAAGGAGAAATGCACAGATGGAGGAAGAGAAGGAGAGTGTACCGTTGGAGGAAGTTGAGAAACAGATGGAACAGAATAGCGAGGCAAAGGCCACCTTGTGCAATAATCCTTTTGAGGAAGTTTCTCCCACCAGTTCATTTGATGACACCTCTTCAAATAACCTGTTTGAGGAGAGCCCTATGACCTCCTCTACTGGGCCAATCAGCTGCCGGATAAATAAAGGATCAGCAGTCAAGCCAAGGTCAGTCAGACAAACACACACACACACTGTCTCTTAGCCCTTGGGTGCCATAAATTATGGATGCACTATTTATTTAGTCTCCAAAAGCAGCAGGGGGAAAACACCCAAGTTTCTTCTGGAACCCCCTGAGATCTCTCCTCTCATCCACACACACGAACCTTCCCTCTCTCATATCCTCAGATTCTCTGATTCAGACATCTCATTTCATCATCTAACAAAACAATGTCAATTATGCTAACATTCTCTTTCCTCTGTGCTGTCAGAGCAGGGTGGCACAAGTCAGATATATGTGGAAAACCTGCCAACTTGTCTGAGATAGACTTTTATACCACCAGTTAATCAAGGGAGGCAACAAGCCCTTAATGGCTGTGGCACAGTGTAGCTGCTTGTAGAGACTCAGCTGGATGTAATTGGGATGGTTTTATTGGATGTTTACTGCTGTCGTACAAAATTGAGATTTGAGCAGAAAACCTGTTGCCTTATCAAAGACTTTGGTATAGGATAGTGTTCTGTAGAGAATATTAAGTTCGTCTCAGTGTGTTGGCGTCATGGCCATTTGGTGTTAAGGGAGTGTGTAAGCAAGATGTCATGGTATCTGTTGGCTTGTGGTGCTTGACACTACTCCAACATGCACATCTCATTAAAGCACAATCCCTTCAAGTAATCTAACACCTTCATGAAAATTGCGGTGCAGTGGAAAAGGTGGATGTGCGTGTTCGTTTTGGAAACCTTTGGCTCAGCTAGTATTGGCTGCTACTCCCATGAATCATAGCTTGTTATACAGTTTCTACAGATGTCATATTAAAGGTGTTACAGCGAGACACAAAGCATTAGGTGATTGAAGTTTTTAACTAGGGTGTTGATGTTGAATGACTCATGAGTATGTATGCTGATAAGGCTGAAACAAACCAACAGGATGATATGACTCAGTGTAGTGAAGCAAGGTTGTTTCGTAATGTGAACAGGCAATGGTTCAGAGGCTGTAAAGATGCTTTATCTTTATTTCTCATTTTGATCTAGGTTTCATTCATGTTTTGTTATTTTAAATCTACATGTAAAACCTTTCTGTGTGTTTGTGTTACTAACCATTATAATTAACCTTCATGTCCCTCTCATAAGACCTAATAAAATGAAATTCCTCCCACTTTCTCTTGTCTGGTGAGTTACTAGCAACTAGTAACAACTTTTATGTAACACATCTGTAGTTTGTAGTTTGCATTGTCTACCTGTCCGCTAACTGGAATGTGTCTGTGTGTGGATTCCAACAAGACTTTTGTTTTTGTTGAGAAAAGAAAAAGAAAAGAATTGAATAACTTCAATTTAGCATTTTTTATTTCATAACATTTCATCATTTAGTTTTAGAAACAAATTCTATGTTCTTTAAAAAGTTGTAAAGGTTTTTCCATTTTCAATGTGTGGTAGTTCGATATTGTCATCAGCAACAACAAAAAATCTCACTGCACCCTACCCTTCCTAACCCTGCTCTTCCAGACCCTCTTCATGGGGGAACCCTTCAAAGCCTGTTATATCTTCCAACCCCTTCTTATCGTCCTCGTCTCCTGAACTGGAGAGTTCAATGGACTCCCCCAGAGGCGATGGGGAAACCAGAGATGCTATTGACCTGTCTACTGAGCTGATGGAGAAGAAAGTCCCTACCCCTCTTGCCCCCAACAAACAGCGCTGGGCTCGTAAGGACAACTGGTCTAGTAAGGCCAAATCTCATTGTGCCACACCTAAACTCACTAAAACAAAGCCAACAAAACCGCCCCCTCCCCTCAGACGTCACTCTTCCACGTCATTGGTGGGAAGTTGGGATGACCAGGGGAGTGTTAGTGGTAAGGACCATTCCAGTGTCAGACAGGATAAGGGTCCTGCTCCACTGCCTCCAGACAACCAGCGATGGGCTCGTAAGGACAACTGGCCTAGTAAGTCCAACCCAGATTCTGCCAATTCTATCCTCACCCAAATAAAGCCAACAAAACCGCACCCTCCTCCAAGACGCAACTCTGCCACGTCCATGGTGGGAAGTGAACATGACCAGCACTTAAATGAGAGTGTTAGTCAGGATGATTCCAGTGTCAGGAGGGACAAGCGTCCTGCTCCACTGCCTCCTGACAGACCAAACCAGGCTCCAAGCGAGACACAGAGGGACCAGAGTATGACCAGTGTGAATCAGGGACATAAGGACAGAGTGGGTGCCTCCATGTCCAAGGTCTCTCAACGTGTGGTACAGATGATCACACCACTGACATCTTCCTCCACAGCTACAACAGAACACATCAGTGGAGGCCAGAGCTCTTCCCACCATGGGAACCAAGCAGGGGAATCCATGCCATCTGCCATTGGGGGGTTGATTGTTGCGAAACACAATAAAGGTCCAGCACCCTCGAGGCCCCAGCACCTTCCAGGGAAGACGATGCCAAAAGCTGATGTGTTAGATGAGCAATCAAATACTGATGAACATGAATCTTCGGTTGAGTTTGAGTTTGATCCAAATAATCCCTTTGCAGAAGACTGCAGAATGGAGAAGTCCTCTGGACGTGGTGAAGAACAGAGTCTAACTGGTGAGCGTCAGGAGAGCCTGGACTCTCACAATCAACAGAGTTGTACCTCCACAGATGCAGATCTAGGTCTGTTTCAGAAGAGTGTGGTTGGGGACACAACTGAGCTTCCAACACCAGATGTTCTGCCAGCTGAGGATGGCTCCTGTCCCAACAAAAGCACATCAGCGAAACGGGTCCGTGCTCCCTTGCCTCCAGTGAAGAAAACATCCACCTTTAGAGAGGAAGGAACTGGTAAACAGAGTTCTGGAAAACTACAAAGCCCAGGGGCTCCTACTTCGAGTAAGCTTTCCTCAGATATCTCAGTAAAAACGCAGAGTGGCGGGGTGGGTGTGGCACTACCATGTGTTACCGTTGCCCAGCCCCCATGTGTACCCTCACCGGCCCCCTCCTCCCTACCCCACCCCGAGCCCCTGAAGGGATCAGGGGGCAGGAGAGACTGCCCTCCCCAGACAACAAGCTCTGTCCCTGGCCAGAAGACCCTGCTTCATGCTGGAGCTCTGCCCTCCATTGCAGAGCAGTGCAGTGGAGAGGAGGCGGGAGGGAGTGGGGACAGGCCTGCCTCAAGCACACGCAGGTGAGAGAGATCTCAGCCTTTTCCTGTAGCGTGTAGCAGCTATGTACTGTCCACCAAACCTCTCCTGTCTCCTGTAGAATGTACTGTATTTAGAATTACTAAACCTCCCCAATCGCTTGTAAAATGCATTGTTCGAGAACACTTAATGAATGTGACCCTGGTAAAACTCTTCTACTCTCTTATCAAATGTTTAGCTGCACTTTCCTGAATTAAAACACTAACTTATGACTAGGTTGTATTTGCAATACTTTCATTATGCAAACAAAATCATAGCTGGTACTACTTTATTAATTATTATATAATACTATAATTGTTATGGAGTTTAGCATAAAGCAAAAGGAACATAGATTCCAAGAGAAATTAGCAGTATATTATGTCATCAAATAGCACTTAGCTACTAAGTAATTACTGCAGATGTAATTTTTCTCTGCTAGTTGTTTAATTGCGATGTCATTCACACAATGCCCTCGGCCAGTATGAATCATGTCTATAGAAATGCCAGCCTTTCTAGCTTTCATTGCTTTTTGTCATGTTATTTTTCCTGTAGAATCTCAGACAAAGCTCAGTGGAGCATGTAAAATGCCATTACTCAGAGCGTGTGTACACTGTGGCTCCTCTGCAGTCTAACCTTATCTAAGAGGGATAGAAGAGTACAGATACGCTTGTCATTGTGTCATGTATGATGGGAATGAGTCAATTGTAAAGAAGAACCCTGCTCGGATTTCTTGTCATGTCTAACTGATCGAACAAATCATTTCCCACTGTTGGCAGCAAGCTTCAGCTCTTTTTTTCTGTGCTAGGAGACCGATAATAATTAGACCTGCTTTTTGAGAAAAGGCAATTATCCAGATATCCCCCACATCCACCTGCTGCATCCCCTCTAATAACACAATACTTTTCAGAAAAGTTTGAGCCTCTCTCACTGTCGCTGTCTTCCTGTCTATCTCGATTCAGGCCACACCCAGTAAAGCCCTTGCGCTCCCTGGAAAACCAGCCAGCCTCCGACATCCAAGAGGGACAGGCTGGCAAATCTACACGGATCCTCGGTGGCCTTCAAGAGAAGATGAAGGTATTTTAAAGAAATATACAGTCAGCTCCATAATTATTGGCACCCTTGATAAAGATGAGCAAAAAATACTGTATAAAATAAATAATACAAATACTGAGCTGTATTATTTTATACTAATACGCTTGCTCAGAGAAAGCGATTTTGTTTAACAAGTAATAAAAAAATCTATTAAAAAAGATGGGTCAAAATCATTGGCACCCATATTTTCAATACTTTAGCGCCCTCCCCTTGTGAAGATAATGAGGCTTTTTCTCAAATGTTTTATAAGATTGGAGAACACGTTGGGAGGGATCTTAGACCATTCCTCTATACAGAATATTTTCGAGATCCTTGATATCCTTCGTCTGCTCTTATGGACTGCCCTCTTCAATTCAAACCACAGGTTTTCAATGGGTTCCAAGTACGGAGACTGAGATTGCCATTGTAAAATGTTGATTGTGCAGTCAATTAACCATTTCTTTGTGGATTTTGATTAGTGGTTGAGGTTGTCTTGCTGGAAGATCCAATTGCGGCCAGGTGTTTTAGTTGAAATGTCCTGGTACTTGGTAAAGTTCATGATGCCGTTGACCTTAACAAGGGCCCCAGGACCAGTATAAGCAAAATAGCCCCATAACATCAAAGATCCACCACCATATTTTACCGTAGGTATGAAGTACTTTTCTGCATACAGTGTATGCTTCTGTTTTTCAATGCCAAACCCACTGCTGGTGTACGTGGCCAAAGAGCTCTATTTTCATGTCATCTGACCATAGCACCAGTTTCAATCCAAGTGCCAATGCTGTTTATCAAACTCCAGGCATTGACATTTGTTGGATGACACGAAAATACAGCTCTTTGGCCACGCACACCAGTGGTGGGTTTGGCATTGAATAACAGAAGCATATGCAGAAAAGTACCTCAAGATTCTGTATGGAGGAATGTTCTATGATTGGCTCTATTTAAGGCTGGCGTTAAGCCAGCACAATTGTCAAACGCACGCTTGTTTGCAATTTCGAACTGTTAAAGTCAACGCTGTTCTATTTTTGAACCCAAGTGCCAGGATTGGTAATTTACCTGTCTTATTTGAGCTCGCTTGCGCTTAGGTGGGAGGGGTGGCAATATCTGAGGTGTGTCCTTTAAAAACGTGCCCCAAAGTGCCAATATCAGCATAGCCTCCCCTCCTCTCAATGAAGGAAAATAATGTGTCATACCCAATTCGCCAAGACTATTGATTAAGGGTTTTGCTCGTGAGACCACTTTTAAATAAATCTCAATCACCAAAGTTGTATTAAAAGTTCAAGTTTGTCAGCAGCAAAACAGTGAGCAGACATCCACTTCCCACTGGGCACAAACTGGTTGAATCAACGTTTCCATGTCATTTCAACCCCCAAAAATCTATGTGATGACGTTGAATCAACGTGAAAAACTGATTGGATTTGAAAATAATCATCAAAGTAAAGGCTTTTTTTCCCTTCTTTTTTTTACTCTACTTTTAACCTGAATCCAATGACATGGTGATTGTTTTTGTTGATTTCACGTTAGTTGACAACTCAGCCAAATGTAAATAAAAACTAGACGTTGAACTGACTCTCTATGTAGGCTATTATATGTCTTGCTACTTGCTTAGCAAGTACCACTTCCTCCTGATTCATCTCACACCGAGGCTCAAACCCAGAACCACGTGACCGCCCTCCTGAAGCGTCTTACCGGTCGACGCCACATGAAAGGGGAGGAGATCGGTTAAAGAAGGATTTTTAAGCCTTTAGATAATTCAGACATGGCTTGTGTATGTGTGCCATTCAGAGGGTGGATGGGCAAGACAAAAGATTGAAGTACTTTTGAACGGGATATGGTAGTAGGTGCCAGGTGCACCGGTTTGAGTGTGTCAAAAACTGCAACGCTGCTGGGTTTTTCATGCTCAACAGTTTCGCGTGTTTATCAAGAATGGTCCACCACCCAAAGGACATCTAGCCAACTTGACACAACTGTGGGAAGCATTGGAGTCTACATGGGCCAGCATCCCTGTGGACGCTTTTGACACATTGTATAGTCCATGCCCTGATGAATTGAGGCTGTTCTCAGTCCAAAAGGGGATGTAACTCTATATTATTCGTACAATGTTATGAATTGCAATTTGTTCAATATGTTACGAATTAGCTAAACGTATGATATGTTACGAATTCCAATTAGTTGTGGCTAACGCTAACGTTAGCTAGGTGGCTAACGTTAGCTAGGCTAGGGGTTAATGTTAATGTTAAGGATAGGAGTTAGGTTAAAGGGTCAAGTTTAGGGTTACGGGAAGGGTTAGCTAACAAGCTAAGTAGCTAAAAAGTAGTCTGTTTCAAGTTTTTTTTTTTTTTTATGTCAAGTACAGTGAAATGCCTTTCTTGCAGGCTTCAAACCCAACAATGCAGTAATCAATATCAATGAAGCACTAAGAATAACATAAGGTAGAACAAAAACACACAAGAAAGAAAGAAGCTATATACAGGGTCAGTTCCAATACCATATTTACAATGTGCAGGGATACTGGAGTGATAGACGAAGATATGTATAGGGGTAAGGTGATTAGGCATCAGGATATATGATAAACAGAGTAGCAGCAGTGTAAATTATGATTGTATGTGTGTGTGTGTGTGTGTGTGTGTGTGTGTGGAGTCAGTATAAATGTGTCTGCATGTTATGTGTGTGTTGGAGTGTCAGTGTGCATAGAGGGTCAACTCAGTCCGTGCAGCCAGTCTGTTAGCTATTGGCTTGGGGAAACAGTGGCTTGTGAAAGTATTCACCCCCCTTGGCATTTTTCCTATTTTGTTACCTTACAACCTGGAATTAAAATTGATTTTTGGGGGGTTTGTATCATTTGATTTACACAACATGCCTACCACTTTGAAGATGCAAAACATTTTTGTGTGAAACACACAAGAAATAAGACCAAAAAAAATGAACTTGAGCATGCATAACTATTCACCCCCTCAAAGTCAATTCTTTGTAGAGCCACCTTTTGCAGCAATTACAGCTGCAAGTCTCTTGGGGTATGTCTCTATAAGCTTGGCACATCTAGCCACTGTGATTTTTGCCCATTCTTCAAGGCAAAACTGCTCCAGCTCCTTCAAGTTGGATGGGTTCTGCTGGTGTACAGCAATCTTTAAGTCAAACCACAGATTTTCAATTGGATTGAGGTCTGGGCTTTGACTAGGCCATTCCAAGACATTTAAATGTTTTCCTTTAAACCACTCGAGTGTTGCTTTAGCAGTATGCTTAGTGTCATTGTCCTGCTGGAAGGTGAACCTCGTCCCAGTCTCAAATCTCTGGCAGACTGAAACAGGTTTCCCTCAAGCATTTCCCTGTATTTAGCGCCATCCATCATTCCTTCAATTCTGACCAGTTTCCCAGTCCCTGCCGATGGAAAAACATCCCCACAGCATGATGCTGCCACCACCATGCTTCACTGTGGGGATGGTATTCTCGGAGTGATGAGAGGTGTTGGGTTTGCGCCAGACAAGCGTTTTCCTTGATGGCCAAAAAGCTCAATTTTAGTCTCATCTGACCATAGTACCTTCTTCCGTATGTTTGGGGAGTCTCCCACATGCCTTTTGGCGAACACCAAACGTGTTTGCTTATTTTTTTCTTTAAGCAATGGCTTTTTTCTGGCCACTCTTCCTTAAAGCTCAGCTCTGTGGAGTGTACGGCTTAAAGTGGTCCTATGGACAGATACTCCAATCTCCGCTGTGGAGCTTTGCAGCTCCTTCAGGGTTATCTTTGGTCTCTTTGTTGCCTCTCTGATTAATGCCCCCCTTGCCTGGTCAGTGAGTTTTGGTGGGCGACCCTCTCTTGGCAGGTTTGTTGTGGTGCCATATTCTTTTAATTTTTTATATTGAATTTAATGGTGCTCCATGGGATGTTCAAAGTTCCTGATATTTTTTTTATAACCCGATCTTGATCTGTACTTCTCCACACCTGTTTGAAGAGCTCCTAGGTCTTCATGGTGCCGCTTGCTTGGTGGTGCCCTTTGCTTAGTGGTGTTGCAGACTCTGGGGCCTTTCAGAACAGGTGTATGTGTGTATGCATGTATGTATATACAGTGGGGAAAAAACGTATTTAGTCAGCCACCAATTGTGCAAGTTCTCCCACTTAAAAAGATGAGGCCTGTAATTTTCATCATAGGTACACGTCAACTATGACAGACAAATTGAGATTTTTTTTCTCCAGAAAATCACATTGTAGGATTTTTAATGAATTTATTTGCAAATTATGGTGGAAAATAAGTATTTGGTCACCTACAAACAAGCAAGATTTCTGGCTCTCACAGACCTGTAACTTCTTCTTTAAGGGGCTCCTCTGTCCTCCACTCGTTACCTGTATTAATGGCACCTGTTTGAACTTGTTATCAGTATAAAAGACACCTGTCCACAACCTCAAACAGTCACACTCCAAACTCCACTATGGCCAAGACCAAAGGACACCAGAAACAAAATGGTAGACCTGCACCAGGCTGGGAAGACTGAATCTGCAATAGGTAAGCAGCTTGGTTTGAAGAAATCAACTGTGGGAGCAATTATTAGGAAATGGAAGACATACAAGACCACTGATAATCTCCCTCGATCAGGGGCTCCACGCAAGATCTCACCCCGTGGGGTCAAAATGATCACAAGAACAGTGAGCAAAAATCTCAGAACCACACGGGGGGACCTAGTGAATGACCTGCAGAGAGCTGGGACCAAAGTAACAAAGCCTACCATCAGTAACACACTACGCCGCCAGGGACTCAAATCCTGCAGTGCCAGACGTGTCCCCCTGCTTAAGCCAGTACATGTCCAGGCCCGTCTGAAGATTGCTAGAGTGCATTTGGATGATCCAGAAGAGGATTGGGAGAATGTCATATGGTCAGATGAAACCAAAATATAACTTTTTGGTAAAAACTCAACTCGTCGTGTTTGGAGGACAAAGAATGCTGAGTTGCATCCAAAGAACACCATACCTACTGTGAAGCATGGGGGTGGAAACATCATGCTTTGGGGCTGTTTTTCTGCAAAGGGACCAGGACGACTGATCCGTGTAAAGGAAAGAATGAATGGGGCCATGTATCGTGAGATTTTGAGTGAAAACCTCCTTCCATCAGCAAGGGCATTGAAGATGAAACGTGGCTGGGTCTTTCAGCATGACAATGATCCCAAACACACCGCCCGGGCAACGAAGGAGTGGCTTCGTAAGAAGCATTTCAAGGTCTTGGAGTGGCCTAGCCAGTCTCCAGATCTCAACCCCATAGAAAATCTTTGGAGGGAGTTGAAAGTCTGTGTTGCCCAGCGACAGCCCCAAAACATCACTGCTCTAGAGGAGATCTGCATGGAGGAATGGGCCAAAATACCAGCAACGGTGTGTGAAAACCTTGTGAAGACTTACAGAAAACGTTTGACCTGTGTCATTGCCAACAAAGGGTATTGAGAAACTTTTGTTATTGACCAAATACTTATTTTCCACCATAATTTGCAAATAAATTCATAAAAAATCCTACAATGTGATTTTCTGGATTTTTTTTCTCTCATTTTGTCTGTCATAGTTGACATGTACCTATGATGAAAATTACAGGCCTCTCATCTTTTTAAGTGGGAGAACTTGCACAATTGGTGGCTGACTAAATACTTTTTTCCCCCACTGTGTGTGTGTGTGTGTGTGTGTGTGTGTGTGTATATATATATATTACAGTTGAAGTCGGAAGTTTACATACACCTTAGCCAAATACATTTAAACTCAGTTTTTCACAATTCCTGACATTTAATCCTAGTAAAAATGCCCTGTCTTAGGTCAGTTAGGATCACCACTTTCTTTTAAGAATGTGAAATGTCAGAATAATAGTTGAGAGAATGATTTATTTCAGCTTTTATTTCTATCATCACATTCACAGTGGGTCAGAAGTTTACATGCACTCAATTAGTATTTGGTAGCATTGCCTTTAAATTGTTTAACTTGGGTCAAACGTTTCGGGTAGCCTTCCACAAGCTTCCCACAAGAAGTTGGGTGAATTTTGGCCAATTCCTCCTGACAGAGCTGGTGTAACTGAGTCAGGTTTGTAGGCCTCCTTGCTCGCACACGCTTTTTCAGTTCTGCCCATACATTTTCTATAGGATTGAGGTCAGGGCTTTGTGATGGCCACCAATACCTTGACTTTGTTGTCCTTAAGCCATTTTGCCACAACTTTGGAAGTATGCTTGGGGTCATTGTCCATTTGGAAGACCCATTTGCGACCAAGCTTTAACTTCCTGACTGATGTCTTGAGATGTTGCTTCAATATATCCACATAATTTTGCTTCCTCATGATGCCATCTATTTTGTGAAGTGCACCATTCCCTCCTGCAGCAAAGCACCCCCACAGCATGATGCTGCCACCCCCGTGCTTCACGGTGGGATGGTGTTCTTCGGCTTGCAAGCTCTCCCCTTTTCCTCCAAACATAACTATGATCATTATGATCAGTTATTTTTGTTTCATCAGACCAGAGGACATTTCTCCAAAAAGTACAATCTTTGTCCCCATGTGCAGTTGCAAAGCGGTTTTTTCCTTGCTGAGTGGCCTTTCAGGTTATGTCGATATAGGACTTGTTTTACTGTGGATATAGATACTTTTGTACCTGTTTCCTCCAGCATCTTCACATGGTCCTTTGCTGTTGTTCTGGGATTGATTTGCACTTTTTGCACCAGGAGACAGAACGCGTCTCCTTCCTGAGCGGTATGATGGCTGCGTGGTCACATGGTGTTTATACTTGCATACTATTGTTTGTACAGATGAACGTGGTACCTTCAGGCGTTTGGAAATTGCTCCCAAGGATGAACCAGACTGTGGAGGTCTACAATGTTTTTTCTGAGGTCTTTTTTGATTTTCCCATGATGTCAAGCAAAGAGGCACTGAGTTTGAAGGTAGGCCTTGAAATACATCCACAGGTACACCTCCAATTGACTCAAATGATGTCAATTAGCCTATCAGAAGCTTCTAAATCCATGACCTAATTTTCTGGAATTTTCCAAGCTGTTGAAAGGCACAGTCAACTTAGTGTATGTAAACTTCTGACCCACTGGTGCTGGATGGCAGGGAGCTCGGCCCCAGTGATGCGCTGGGTTGTCCGCACCACCTTCTGTAGCACCATGCGAACGAGGGTGGTGCTGTTGCCATACCAAGCAATGATGCAGCCAGTCAAGATTCTCTCAATGGTGCAACTGTAGAACCATTTGAGGGCCCATGCAAATCCTTTTCAACCTTGCGCCTTCTTCACGACTGTGCGTGTGTGAGTGGACCATTTTAAGTCCTTAGTGATTTAGACACTGAGGATCTTTAAGCTCCTGACCCACTCCACTGCAGCCCCGTTGATGTGGATGGGGGCGTGCTCGCGCCCCCCATTTCCTGTAGTCCACGATCAGTTCCTTGGTCTTACTGACGTTGAGGGAGATGTTGTTGTCCCAGCACCCCACTGTCGTGTCGTCAGCAAACTTGATGTTGGTGTTGGAGTTGTGTCCACACAGTCGTGGGTGAACAGGGAGTACAGGAGGGGACTAAGCACACACCCCTGTTGGGTCCCGAGGGTCAGCGTGGCGGAGGTGAAGTTGCCGACCCTCACCACCTGGGGTTGGCCCGTCAGGAAGTCCAGGATCCAGTTGCAGAGGGATTTGTTCAGTCCCAGGGTCCTAAGCTTGGAGGGAACAATGGTGTTGTACGCTGAGCTGTAGTCAATGAACAGCATTCTCACATAACTTTGCACCTACTTTGCAGGGGAAGGGGAAGCTAACATGCTAAGTAGTTGCAAGGTAGCTAAAAAGTAGTTGCAAAGTTGCTAAAATGCTAAAGTTGTCCATGATGAGATTCGAACAAGCAAACTTTGGGTTGCTAGACGTTCACGTTATACAGTCGACCAGCTTCCTTACTTTTATTTTTGCCTTAAGTAACCTTCTGTCTTATGTAACCATACCAATTGTAACATATACTAATTTGAGTGACCCGGATTTACATTTACTATGTTACGTCTATGAGACCAGGCTGCTAAGACGTCTGTCCTCAAAACAGTTTGTTATGGACTTGGGCTCATGTACAACGCACTTAATGAACTTGCCCTGTCCGAGTGTAGCCTTTGTTTTGCAAGATCACATAGGCCTAGTATTTTACAGAACCAAATATAATAGCATAGTAGTAGGCCTATATTACTGTTACACCAAAAACACCTCCTCAGTCATTTTTTATGACTTTTAGGATTCTCGCTGAATAGTCAGTCTAGTTTTTTTTCCTTTTGCGGCCAAAACTCAACAGAGCGCGCAACTAGGCAGGATGTATGCTTAGATAGAAACAAAATACAAGAAAGGCTAATAGTTTAACACCATCTGCTCTAATTAGTTTACGGAACAGTAATTCAAGAAGATCTAAATGCATATTCCATGAAACAGATTGAGATCAAATGATTGGCATGGATTTTGGACATTTCACCGGTAAAACTTGAATAATTATCCTTCACGATTGACAGTGGTGATGGCATATTTTGAAATAGGTATGCCTAACTTGGTGTTTGAGGGTATTAAAAATAGAAGCATTTATTGAGACAATATGTGTGGGCATAGGGACACGTTGCAATTGGAGGATGCATTATTCTATAATGATATTCAATCGGCTACATCTGTCTTACAAACTTTGATTGAGAAATGATGACGTCATTTAAAAAAACGAATGCGTTCCCGCACCTAAAAGAATGGCACTACACCCCTCTGTATGTGTACTGAATAATCAGACCCCATTGTGTCTAAGAAGAAAAGGTGCTATCTAGAACCTAAAAGGGTTCTTTGGCTGTCCCCATCGGAGAACCCTTTGAAGAACCCTTTTTGATTCCTTTCCACAGAGGGTTCTACATGGAACCCATAAGGGTTATCCTATGTGGACAGCCGACGAACACTTTTGGAACCCTTTTTTCTAAGAGTGTGGGAAAAGTGTGCATGTTCTTTTCTTTTTTTTCTTTACTTTTTTTTTTTTTTTGTCATTTAGCAGACACTCTTATCCAGAGCGACTTACAGTTTAGTAAGTGCATACATTTTCATACTGTTCATGTGTTAATATGCACAGCAGGGGCTCTTTTTGATAGTATGATCATAATAATCTTATGCAATTAAGGTACCAGGATATATTTGAAATCAACCCCTCAGGCACCTCATGCAAATGTCCTGTGCTGCTGTTTCAAATTATCCAACAAGTTCTTTGATGCACAGTTGGTTTTAATGAAACATTAGTACAATAAATTCCCATTCTTGCTACGCGCACGCGGGCACACGCGTAGCACGCACAAACACAGTCGCAACAAGCCCTCCCACCAAATGCTCCCTGGAAAGAATTGCCACAGATTAATTTATCTATTCTACAACCCTTGCAAACACGTTCTTTCTCTTTTCAATGACGCACCTTAAGCTCACTGTGAATAACACTGGGCTTTGCCTATCATGTTGGGATCTGAGACATAAGAGGTCTAACAGAGTTCTCACAAAGCTGTCAGAGCTCACAGATTTCACAAACCTCTCACTGAGTCGCTGTGCCCACATCATAGGCACCATTACTTTTTATAATGGAGATTTAGGTAACACTGCACCCACCCAATGCCCTCCATTATAAGTGTCTGAAAGCTAGAACTTGAATGTTTTCTGCTAATGTAAAGAAACAGACAGGAGCACTGGTTGGGTGTTCAAGTTTTGCTATATTTTTTAAGGTGCTCTTTGTAAGGGTTTGTGCATAGTTAAAACATTGCTTTATAGGGAAAGGGGGATACCTAGTCAGTTGCACAAATTAATGCATTCAACCAAAATGTTTCTTCCACATTTAACCCAACCCCTCTGAATCAGAGAGGCGTGGGGGGCTGCCTTAATCGACGTCATCGGTGCCCGGGGAGCAGTTGTTGTTCGGGGTTAACTGCCTTGCTCAAGGGTAGAACGGCAGATTTTTCCACCTTGCTGGCTTGGGGATTGAAACCAGTGACCGTTCAGTTACTGGCCCAACGCTCTTAACCGCTAGGTTACCTGCCGCCATACATTATAGATAATGCATGGCATACAGTATCTTTGGAGAAGTCTGATAGTACCACCTCCATTCTCTCCCTTTCCTTCTAGGGCAAAGACACAGGGGTCAAAGGTCCCTACTCCCAGCTGACCCAGGAAGAGCTGATCTCCCTGGTGGTGAAGCAGCAGGAGCAGCTGTCCAAAAGGGATGACAAGATCAAGGAGCTGGAGCAGTATATTGACAACCTGCTGGTGCGCATCATCGAGGAACAACCCAGTATCCTGATGTCCATGAACTCACTCAAATGAGAACTCTAGAAATATATATTACTCCATCCTGTTCCTAATCTTTCAGAGCAGGGCTTTCCTAAAATGTTTATCTTCCTCAATGCCCATGTATTGGGCTGTTTGAAGATTTCTGGCTTTCGTCCCAAATAACTTTGAATTCACCTGACACCCATGTATACCATAACAAGCACTGGATTTGTCTGTTCCTACTGAACAGATGTACTTTTGATTGTTCATTACATTTTGTCTAAAGGGTTTCTTAAAAACTACAACTTTATGGTTTGTAAAGACAGTATAAGAACAAAACCAAGCACAAGTCTACATAGGCCTGTGGGAAGTTCCTTTACATTTTTGACAGTTAGTTTTTTCTTAGTATTAACGTTTTGATTTTCTTTCCATGAGTATGATATTCTATTAATGTTTTGATTTTCTTGAGATGAGTATGATATGAAGGTTAAATCCAGAGCAACGACACTGAAGAATGAATTGAATAGTAATGAATAAAAAAATGAATAATGAAAGCTCCAACAGAACAGTAGAGTTCGCATATTTGGTAACACTTTATGTAAAGCAGACAGACCAGTATAATAAGGGGTCATACATGCTTATGACAAGTATTACAATTAATTATAATCACATAATGAGTAATACCTGCCGGTAAAGTTTTACTTTGTATTGCTTGTCTATGAGGTACAGATATTATTCCCTGATACTGTATAACTCATGTAAAATGTTGTACATATTGAGATGTCCTTTTCCTATATTGTCAACTTTATGTTGAATCACTTTGAAGAGGAAATAATTGACAAATTGCTAGTCTGATATAAACATGGATTGATAATTAATACAATTTAGACTACAGATAAACCAGGTTTACTGGGATGTGTGGACTATGCCTTTTGATTAATGCACTCGATTCATTGCTATCTCACTGACAGGTGCACCTCCAGAAACAAAGTGCATGGGTGTAACCTATAGACACTGTTCAAAGTGGCATTTCCTTATGAAGAAAGCTATTGGGATTCAGAGACTGTTTTCTTACACCAGCTACCACTGGCCATAGGTAGATAGCAAGATGTGTCAGAGTATGTTGGTCTGCCTTTGGTCATAAGAAGGATTACTGTATAGTTGGGTGAAAGTTAATCTCAGACACCCAGAACTAAAATCTCACGTAATTGCGTCAGATGCTCAATTACATCTGTCCACGAGAGATAGGTGAAAGTCAGAAAGTGTCTATTTGGTCCATGTATAGCCTATTCTACAATGATAAAATAAAGAGTTATTTTCAATCAATCATGTAATTTATTTAGCACACACTCCCACTCCCCCCCCCCCCCCCCCCCCCCCCTCTCTCTCTCTCTCTCTTTCTGTATCTCACTAGCACACTCTCTCTCTCAGCTGTAAAGTGTGTATTAATACCTTGTGATAAAGTTTCAAATAAAGCTTGACGCATCGATTCCACGCTATGAACGTAACGTATGGATTTATGCGCTTTTCCAATACAAGTAAAAAGTTGCAGTCGCTTCCAATACAAGTAAAAAGTTGCAGTCCCTTTCAATAGCGGAACTAAATTAACGGTGCCTTGTTTCTACACGGATTATAAAGGCAGAGCTCACAATAAGACTTCGAAACGTTCATTGGTCGTTCACAGCACATGCATGGTACTATAGTAGGTTCTGGCTAGCTCACAAGTTTATGATTTGCTAGCTAACGTTAACTAACATACATCAAAGTGAAGATGGCTACTGTCGGTGTGATGTGTCCGGAGTGTGGCTCGATCGACGTAGTGGACGACCAACATTATTCACAGCCACAACTTGTATGTGCAGATTGTGGCGCTGTGGTATCCGAAGGTCTACTCACCACTACCCGAAGTGAAGAGACACAGGGCACAGGTAGCTAGTTAGCTAACTAACTATGGTCCTCTGTAGCTCAGCTGGTAGAGCACGGCGCTTGTAACGCCAAGGTAGTGGGTTCGATCCCCGGGACCACCCATACACAAAAATGTATGCACGCATGACTGTAAGTCGCTTTGGATAAAAGCGTCTGCTAAATGGCATATTATATTATTGATCTGTCACCTTCTTAGCACAATGATTTATGCAGCTGCCTGGAAGAATGTGCTTTCCTACTGAGTGTTGGTCATGCAGTCTTCTGTAAGGCTATCAACATGCCTGCTGGCTATATTGTGACTGTGATTTAATTGAACACTTTGTTTGTATTTCCTTGTCTGCTTGTTTTGGTCCTGTAGATGTAAGATACAGTAATAGCACAGAAGTAGACAAGAAGCCATGCCGGAATCAAATCAAAGGTAGGAACTGCACAGTTTCCCTGTAGAACTACTGACTACCTATTTCTGACACAATGTGAGGGTTGGATATCACAAAATACTGTGTATTTTAATCATGTCTGGCTGGCAATACTGTATCACTTCTTCCAAACAGGCATACACCGGGTGCGTGCTCTCTGTCGTATTCTCAGACTCACCTTCCTCATGGAGGAGACTGCAGAGACCTATTTCAAGCAGGCCTATGAGCACCCTAACTTCATCAGGGTCAGCCTGCAGAAGAAAGAGGTTCTGGCAGGATGCTGTGTGCTGGCGACCTGCAGGCAGCACAGCTGGCCCATCGCCATGGGAACCATTAGTTGTCTCCTGGAGGCGAACCCCAGGCTGATAGGTGTGGTCTACCAGGAGATGGTGAAGACTCTGAAGATAGAGGCTCCCCCCTCCAGCATCATTGACCTACTGGAGACACACTGTCAGGCGTAAGTGTGTAATCAATCACTTCAACTAAAAACATTAGCCTTGATTGCCTGATAAATAAATTGCCTGACAAATGTTATTTGGTAGACATTTGATGCTTATTGAGAAACTGTATTTTCTCTGCTTTCACTGTCAGATACAAACTAAGCTCTCAACATGTCCATGAAGAGTTGTCGGTGTCCTCCAAGGATTTGACAAAGCGAGCTGCTGTCCTGTTGGAGCTGGCTGCAGATGCCTGGCTGGTGACTGGCCGCCAGCCCATCCCCATCCTCACGGCCTCCATCTTCCTGGCCTGGCAGTCCCTGAAACCCACCCAGACCCGGCTCAAATACACACTGGCCAGGTTCTGCCAGATGGCCAAGGTGACCAAGTCCTCCATAGCTCCGAAGCGGGTGACCGAGCTGAAGGAGGTGCTGTGTAAGCTGGGCCAGGAGCTGCCCTGGCTGAGGGGGGATGAGGTGACACCTCAGACTGTGATCCAGATGGTGGATGACATCCTGAACCATAGACTCACCCTACTGAGGAGGGCCCTGAGCAGCCACGAGGAAGCCCTGGCCTCTGAATCAAAACTCCCACCAAGCTTAGAGGGCTCCCTACCTGGACCCCACAACAACACGCCCTGCCTGGAGGGTTCAGCTTCATCCCAGACCCCAGTGCAGACCCCTCAAGAACCCTTTGTGGGGGAACCAGACACAGGGAGCATCCAGCAACAAGGAGATGTTGACCTGACATACACTGTTGTAAAGGATGGGTTGTCCCATACTGGGCCTGACACAGACTCTCAGCACAACCAGCCCTCAGCACCAAACTCTGGCAAGAGGAGTTTGTTTGAACCCCCTTCTGTGAGGTACGCTAAGATAAGGAGGGTGCAGGTCCCGGTGGTGGAGGTGACAGGTGATGAGGAGATCTCAGACAGTGAGATTGACAGTTACATCCGTACTCCTCAGGAGATCAGAGACTACGTTGAGGCTAAAGAGGCATTAGCTTCCTCTGATGATGAGTTCTGACAGGAAGGGATCACCTTGTAACCAGGTGATTTAGTTATACTGCACTGTCTGATCTGTAATGCATTATAATGTACAAATATGCAACTATTTGGCTAACTATTTATTTTGTATGAATATTGAATAATCTCTTGTACCCTTCAGGTCATAAGGCTACACATTAAATCTACTGATTTCAAAACAGTCACCAACAGTGTTGAGGACTATATTCATTTTGATGGTGATTTTATCCTTAATTTGTTAGTTTAATTGAAAGGTTCTTCTTTGGCTGATCAATTTTATTGCATTGAATTTGGATGCACACACACCTATGTTACTAAACAGTCTGTACTTCAAGTACAGTATATGGGCATGTTTTTCTGTTTGAAGTGGCCAAATGGATTCCTCTGCTTTGTGGTTCTCTGCAAATTATCTATTTGACTAATTACAGTGGCCTAAACCCAGTTCATCGTCTCAGGCCGGCTGTCAGTGATTTTAGAGCACATTCGCCTAATTAGTGTCAATGTTGTCACAGCACCGCCTGTAGCCTAAAATTGTTTTTTGAAACAGTCAATACTGTTGGTTATTAGGTTGTCTACAGCTGTCAGCCTAAAATATTTCTGTATTTTTTTGTTGGAATTTTAGTTTTTACAAAAGTTAGGCATTAGTCATCTAGATTTGAACTCTGTTGCTGAAGCCACATTGTTCTCTAGTGTGTGTTTTTTTTGCCCTCCGGACGTTAACTGATGTTGTGGTGAGAGGATTGTTACCATAGCAAAAAATAAACATATTACCATATATAAAATATACATATTTTTTTTACTTGGATTAGTGCACTCTAGTTATTTTCTAGCTACAGTCTTGCCTCTCCAAATCTTCCATTTACTCCTCTTGTCAGTCCATTCATATCCCACTGGGCACACACTGCTTGAATCAATATTGTCAGAGGAAGGCCCAAAAAATTGTCAAAGACTCCAGTCACCCAAGTCGTAGACTGTTCTCTCTGCTACCGTACGGCAAGCGGCACCGGAGCGCCAAGTCTAGGACCAAAATGCTCCTTAACAGCTTCTACCCCCAAGCCATAAGACTGCTGAACAATTAATCAAATGGCCACCCGGTCTATTTACATTGACACTGCTGCTACTCGCTGTTTATTATTTATGCATAGTCACTTTACCCTACCTGTGCAAATTACCTCGACTAACCTGTACCCCCGGTACCGGTACCCCCTGTATATAGCCTTGTTATTGTTATTTTATTGTGTTATCTTTTTATATATATTTTTTATACTTTAGTTTATTTAGTAAATATTTTCTTAACTCTATTTCTTGAACTGCATTGTTGGTTAAGGGCTTGTAACTAAGCATTTCACGGTAAGGTCTACACCTGTTGTATTCGGCGCATGTGACAAATACAATTTTATTTTATTTTATTTGATGTTCAACTTTCCCAAGTTCTCCCATGTCACCCCGGTCCTCCGCACACTTCACTGGCTTCCAGTTGAAGCTCACATCCACTACAAGACCATGGTACTTGCCTACGGAGCAGCAGAACTGGCCCTCCTTACGTTCAGTCCATGCTCAAACCCTACACCCCATCCCGAGTCGTTCTGCCACCTCTGGTCTCATGGCCATCCCACCCCTATGGGAGGGCAGCTCCCGCTCAGCCCAGTCAAAGCTATTCTCTGAAACCCTGCTCCTTCAAAGAATATCATAAATAATCCCACAGCAATCCCCCTCGCACCCCCTCCTCACCCCATCCCCTCCCACCCCCAAACAACTTGCCTTTCTTGAACTAACACTTTACTTTTCCCCCTACTAGCACTGACTTTGCTGATTGCTACTCTATTTAGGAAAAATGTACTTACTATGACTGAGATATGTGGTTGTCCAACCTAGCTATCTTAAGATGAATGCACTAACTGTAAGTCACTCTGGATAAGAGCGTCTGCTAAAGGACTAAAATGTAAATGTATTTCATGTGATTAATTTACATTTGTCCCTCATTTTAAGGTCAACCATTTTACATGAATTGAACTCTCGTTTTAATATGGTGAAACTATTCCTTTTAAAATTATTTTTCAAGAAACACTGAACATCTAATGGTCAAATCATAGTGTAAAAGCAGGTGCTCTTTATAACAGAATGCAAAAATTGTGTGAAATAAATAAATTACCAAATTAAACTACCCAAAAGGCACTCTATTGGTGGAATAGCCTAATTAAAGTGTATATGAATTAGTCCTGTGTAAATATTGTTCTGTGGTGTTGGTCTATGTGATTTCATTAAGTCTTTATTAATTAAGACATTTGCCATCTGTAATACATAAACCATCTTTTCAATTACATTTTTTAATCATCACTAATAATGTCTAATAATCATTGGGTTTTTATTTCATGAAAATATCTAAAAATATATTTTTTATCATTTATTTCCCTGAGCCTCTGCCATTGAAATGCTCAGTCTGATCATGTGGGCGTGTTGATACAAATGTAAACATATTTACATACACAACCCTGATTGGCGGATAGGATCCTCTAGACCAGGGGTCTCCAACCCTGTTCCTGGAGAGCTACCATCCTGTACGTTTTTGCTCCAACTCCAATCTAGCGCACCTGATTCTAATAATTAGCTGGTTGATAATACCCCGCTTAGGCTACCCCTTGGGTACATATACAAATAAAAGATGACTGGTCATTGGTCAGTACTGTAGCTCAGTTGGTAGAGCATGGCGCTTGCAACGCCAGGGTTGTGGGTTTGATTCCCACGGGGGACCAGTATGAAAAAGGTATGGACTCACTAACTGTAAGTCACTCTGGATAAGAGCGTCTGCTAAAATGACTAAAATGTAAATCTAAAATGTAATCTGATCAGATCTGGGCCAAAAACTCCATCCCACCTGAACAGGCAGAAATTCCAGGCATTCAAACAGCTCTTACACAAAAAGGGCATTATCATAATCTTCACAGTTTCTGTGTTATTTCAAACTCTTGTGTGGAAATATCCTGAAAATCACATTTTTGAGTGCACTGCCCCTTTAAGCTTATTAGCACTTCCAAAGGGAATTCAATCAACAATTGGCCAATTCTCAGTGTTTGTTTATTCAGAATTTTACACATAATTGCATGCAATCACTTAATAGGACACAGATTTTATATGGCATGACACAAACCACAGAAGGCCATTTATTACAAAGGGACACACAACAACTCCAGCAAACCACCATGACATTTAGCTTAAATGTATTGAAAGTGTGGAGATTTCTTGTTGTTGGTCTAAAAAAGCAATGAGAATCAACACCTCAGTGAAACTTTCTGGAGTTATGGTAATCAGTCAATAATGCAATCATGCAGTGGCAAGCATGACCTTAGCAAATGCTGAATGACTATTTTCAGAGGCGTGGTACGTTCCCCAGAAACAAAGATATGTAAGAGACTGAGAAGACTGCAATAAAAAGAGGAATTTAACCATAGGGGAACAAAGCTCAGCTACTGTTTTATTAAGCATGTTTATTCACAGGGTGCAGACAGAGATATCTGTATTCACATCATTCAGCAGTGCTCCAGGGATGTGCACACACCCACCGCCCCCCAACTCTGTCATCCACTGCCACATACCAGTCCAACCTGGACTCAGGGGTAGACGTGACATAGTAAATCTATTTCCGAGATAATAAATTAGTGTGGTATTTTACTTCTGGGTATTTGTATGTATTAATTTGTGGATGTCCTTTATCCATTTTGTATGATATGTTATGAATTACAATTCGTATGATGCATTATGAATTGCCATTCGTACAATATGTTATGAATTACAATTCGTACAATATGTTATGAATTTGCAAAACTTACCATATGTTACAAATTCCAATTTGTTGTGGCTAACATTAGCTAGGTGGCTAGGTGGCTAACGCTAACGTTAGCTAGGTGGCTAATGTAAGCTAGGGTTTAGGGGTTAAGTTTAGGTTAGGGTTAGAGGTTAGGTTAAAGGGTTAAGGTTAGGGTGAGGGTTATGAGTTAGGTTAAAGGGTTAAGGTTAGGGTTATGGGAAGCTAAAATGCTAAGTAGTTGCAAAGTAGCTAAAATGTAGTAAGTAGTTGCAAAGTTGCTAAATTGCTAAAGTTGTCCGTGGTAAGGTTCGAACACGTATCCTTGGGTTGCTAGACATTTGCGTTAGAACCCATCCACCCCGACCAACCACCTTACTTTCGTTTTTGTAACCATACCAAACGTAACATATCATACTAATTTGTTCTTCCGGATTTTCATTTACTATGTTACGTCTAGTCTATGAGACCAGGCTGACCAGTCTGGGGACCAAACCTGCAGTTGACTATTAACACAGCAGTCAGAAGCATACAGGACACTGAGTTCATTGACATTGTATTGTCTGTCCAGTGAGTGCTTCCCTCTAACCTCAGCAGACAGCTGTCCATCTGGATGAATGGAAGATGTCTTCCTGTAGCAACTATTGTGATGATTACTTAACTAATGGTATTATCTACAAGACCTCTTATGAGCATAGACAACATTTTGTGGATTCAGATTTTCCTGTTTGCTACTGTTCTCCTTGTGTTAAACATTAATCTCTCGTGGACAGATTGATGGGAAATGACAACTTTCGCTAGAATTTTACTTCTGGGTAACTGAGATTAGTTAAACATTGACTGTATACATAATTGCCTTTTCTGTTCCCAAACTTCAAACGGAAATCTGTTTGGTGGTCCTGCCACCTCTTTTCTCCTCTCTCTCTCTCTCTCTCTCTCTCTCCTCTCTCTCTCTCTCTTTCTCTCGCTCTCCCCCCCTCTCTCTCTCGCTCCCTCCCCCCTCTCTCTCTCTCCCCCCTCTTGCCCCCCCCCTCTCTCTCTCTCTCCCCCTCCCTCCCCCTCTCTCTTTCCCCCCCACTCCTCTCTCTCTCTCCCTCTCTCTCTCTCTCTCTCTCTCTCTCTCTCTCTCCCCCTCTCTTGCTCTTTTTGTCTCTTGTATTTCACCTTATTATTGTTGTTCAATCTGCTCATTTATTGATTATCTCCAGTCAATCACCTAATGAATGTTCAATTGATTTGTTTACCTATGAACAATGAGGAAACCACCTCATATCTCTGTAATCAGCTGTAAATCCAAGATTTCCTGTATTGTTCATGATGATCTCTTGTCATGTCTACGTTAGGTCAACAACAAACATGAACAGTATCAGGAAATTGGACCTACAACATGCTTACACAGGTATCAGAGGCCTTGTGTCTCTTCTATCTCCTTGTCCCTGCACAGTCAGAGGACCACACTGGCCATAGCACAGTGGTTGGCGGGGATGCCGATGCGGTGGTGGCAGGTGAACATCTTGCGCAGCTCAGTACGAAAGCGGTCATGCAGCCAGGCATACAGGAAGGGGTTACAGCAGGACGAGCTCATGGCACACAGGTGGCACAGCAGCTGAATGAGCAGGAAGTGGCGCTTGTTGATTAGGCGGATATCGATGTCACGCAGCACGTTGAACACATGGATGGGCAGCCAGCACACCCCGAAGGCCGCCACCACCAACGCCACCAGACGGAAGATCTTCCGCTTTCGGGCTCGCTGTGCCTCTGCCTGGTCTCGGGACCGATGTCCCGGTGCCACGCAGTTCCTCAGCTTGAAAGAGATGCAGAGATAGGAGGTGCAGACGGCGGAGAGTGGCAGGACGTAGGTTACCAGTAGGGTGCTGTAGGCATAGGCCAGCCTCTCCTTCTCCTGCCCCAGCCAGAACTCCTCACAGATGGTGAGGCCCTCCTCTCTGAACTCCACATGGTACGTGTGGGCCACGGCCGGAGCCACCAGGCCGCAGGACAGCAGCCAGATCCCTGACAGGACGTAAGCACAGGTGGACACAGAGGTGCGCTTCTTCAGAGGATGCACAGTGGCGTAGTACCTGGCAGGGAAATACTGTAAGTGGACAGCAGTATTCATTTTAATTAATTGAGTAAAAAAAAAAATCATAGATATAGATCAACAATTCCAATGTCATTATTTCAGATGTGTTTTTTGTGGGGGGTTTTCTTCACATTTCATGTTTCACTTCATTTGAAACTGTCCTTTGAAAACCAATGGGTTTTTCGTTCTCTCGAGTCAAAGTGGGTACACTCACCTGTCAACAGCGATGGCGGTGAGGGTGAAGACAGACACATAGACGGTAACCGGCTGGATCAGGAACACCAGGTAGCACATGAACCTCCCAAACACCCAGCCACGAGGGTTGAATGCATAGGCCAGGGTGAAGGGTACACAGGTCACACACATCAGCATGTCTGAGAAGGCCAGGTTCCCTATGAAGAAATTGGTGACATTGTGCATCTTGCGGGTGCGGCAGATGACATAGAGCAGCAGGTAGTTCCCGAACACACCCACCACCACCACCAGGGAGTAGCAGGGGATGATGAGCAGCTTAAAGCTCTGCAGCAGAGCCACATCTGCAAACAGGGAGCTGTGGTTGGCCGAGTCGTTCTGAACAGCCATCTCAAAGACTGAGTGCCCCTCTGTTGTCTCCTCGCTTACAGAGGGCAGCAGACCTCCAGTCCAGCCACTGCCGTCCATACTGTATCTGATTACCAGCACAGCAGTAGGGAGCCCTGGGTACCAACCTCTTAGCACCTTACCCTGAAAGAGTCAGAGCACAGGGGTTGGGAAAGTTTTAGTGACAAACAATAAGCAATAATTGCTCATGTGTTTTAACTACCGGTATATTCATCATAACTGGAAATGAATGGCATTCAAACAAGTGAATGCTATACAGTAGATCATACATTAATGTACAGTATATATTCATCAACAAAGCCAAACTGACCTACTTTTTCTTTTATGTGACTTTTTCCTTTCCTTAATTTCCTTCTATGCTGCATGAAAATGAAAGTCTCACCATGATTGGTTACGCGTATGATATTTGAATGGTTTAACGGTTGAGTTTAATGCTTGTGGTATGCTCCAGACTATTAAAGTGATCATTGATGGCCAACAGCCATGTTTTAGATGACCCCCTAGGTAGTCAACACACAACACAGACACAGTCAATAGATCACTTACCCCACCAGACATGCCACCAGGGGACTTTTCACAGTCCCCAGGTCCAGAACAAATTAAAGGAAACACACAGTATTATACAGAGCCATGAGTGCAAGGAACTCCCTTCCATCTTATATAGCGCAAGTGAACAGCAAACCTGGTTTCAAAAAACAAATAAAGCAACACCACACCGCACAATGCCTCTCCCCATGTGACCTACTTGTTGTGTGTATGTACTGACATGTACTCTGTATGTGTATCTGATAGATGCACACACACAAACTACATGTTCATATTTTTTTATGTACACTACCATTCAAAGGTTTGGGGTCACTTAGAAATATCCTTGTTTTCTAAAGAAAAGCAATTTTTTTGTCCATTAAAATAACATCAAATTGATCAGAAATACAGTGTAGACATTGTTAATGTTGTAAATGGCTATTGTAGCTCGAAACGGCAGATTTTTTTATAGAATATCTACATAGGCGTACAGAGGCCCATTATCAGCAACCATCAGTCCTGTGTTCCAATGGCACGTTGTGTTTGCTAATCCAAGTTTATAATTTTAAAAGGCTAATTGATCATTAGAAAACCCTTTTGCAATTATGTTAGCACAGCTGAAAACTGTTGTGCTGATTAAAGAAGAAATAAAACTGGCCTTCTTGAGACTAGTTGAGTATCTGGAGCATCAGCAATTGTGGGTTCGATTACAGGCTCAAAATGGCCAGTAACAAATAACTTTCTTCTGAAACTCATAAGTCTATTCTTGTTCTGAGAAATTAAGGATATTCCATGCGAGAAATTGCCAATTTCTGATCAATTTGATGTTATTTTAATTGTCAAAAAATTTGATTTTCTTTCGAAAACAAGGACATTTCTAAGTGACCCCAAACTTTTGAACGGTAGAGTATGTAAATTGTAAAGTCTTTTTTTTGTCTGTAATGTATTTTTCATTATGGGGGGAAGCTCTTGTGAAACGTAAAGAATTTTCTACAAAACTGATGTTAAAATATCTTATTGTAGAAGTGCATGCATGGCCACTTCATAGCCCAGTGCAGTCAAAAACGTGATTTTCTTGTGTTTTATATATATTTCCACACTATGAGGCTGGAATAATACTGTGAAATTGTGAAAATGATGATAATGCCCTTTTAGTGTAAGAGCTGTTTGAAAAGACTGCCTGAAATTTCAGCCTGTTGTGGTGGGATGGAGTTTTGGCATGCTGGTGACATCACCAGGCGGTAAATTGGTTAATAGACCAATAAGAAAGAGAGTTCCAAATCTCTGCCAATTGCAGCTAGTTTTCGGTTTTCCCCTCCTAACTCAGAACTCCCAGACAGTCCTAGCTAAATTGTTGCTTGAGAAATTGCTCTTTGCTAAGAAGCTATTTCAAAAAATATTTTTGACAATTTTGGCTTTGATGAAATGAAACAGTTCAGATTGCTGACATGCCTACATGACCCTCAATTTGATGTACAAGTACCTCTGGTTAATAATGAGTGTTATAATGATGAATATATACAATTAACATTATATAATGCAGCGATGAGCAACTTTGATGGGGGTGGGGGCCACACATTTTTTTTTACTTATCATGAGGGCCGCAGTGGCTCGTGGGTCTGCGTACCCACTTCCACTAGTTTAGGGCATACGATGTTGGCTGATTGGAGACAAAGTAGAGAATCTAGACAATTATTCATAAAATAATTACACCCGTTGTCTAAGCCACAGAGACAACTATATAGGGATAAAGATGGATATGATTCCGCAATGTGAGATGCAATGTTAAATGTACGCATTCTATTTTTGGAAATAAATCTAGTGGCTACCTGGCTGCAACTCAATAATATGCAATTATTTTAAAACCTGCATTCAACAGATCTGTTCCCAATATATTTATGCCAATGGCCTCTTGGGCTCCAATAAAGTATGGGTTCATGATAACTAATGTATTTTATTATTTCTTGCCTGCTAGTCATTTTTATTCAATTTGGAGTAATTGTTTCCAGGGATCTTTTTTCATATTTGCTAAAAGGACAACTGCAGGGTGAAGGAAATAAAGGTTTAGACATTCATTCAATGTGGAATCTTGTTCTAATAAACGTGTCAAAAAATACTAGTGTACTTTTTCTATACTTCTTTTACTACCACTTCTATTATTACTACAACAACTTACTACACAACATAATGATAACCACAGTAATATCCTGATTAATATCTACAACAAATTATTTTGGGGAAAAAACACTTGATCAAACACGTTTTATAGTAAAGTAATGATAGCAATTAATAACACTAAATCAGAAATGAACTTATCCTAAAACTCTTAGGCTACCTTGCTTATGAAGTAAAAATGTAAGTCGTAATTCTTTTAAAGATAAGGAAACAAATATATTTGATCAAAGGCATGGTACCTCAAGTGCTGACGAGCAAAAGGTGAAGTGAACTCCTTGAAAGACTGAGAACCTCCGTCAAGTGCGCTCTCGACACACTCATATCCTTCCTGAACAGTGGCGAGTATACAGCACGTTGCGGAGCCACTGCTGCTGATATGGAAAGAGAGAGCAAGAGAGAGAGAGCGAGAGACAGGCGGTTATCTCCCAGTCAGGGGTGGAGATTTTATTTTCTCTAATGTCAGACTCAATTATACATTTTATTTTAATTTTAATAGACCTACCTGTAATTGGCTGCCCATAGGCTATAAAATAACAGCCAGAAAAAAAATGGGCATCCTGGAAATTAACTTGGTTACAGAGCAGGATGTGTTCTGAAGAAAACCAATTGATTGGTCAAGATTTATCTCTTCAAGTCCATTACTTACAGACACCACGTGGTCCTCCTGTGTCAGTCGTCCATGTGCAGGGTGACATAGTTGTTGTCCAAATTGTTCAGTTGGTTGGAGAATGCTCCTGGCAAATACAAGCTGTTACTGCAATGCTCAGGTGAAAGGGACACATTTGAATATAGGCACATACACAATGTGCCTCAACGGTAAATTACATGAATAAATGTGTATTTTATAAACTATTCTATGGCAATCTAATCCTGGCTCACCTATTGTCAGTCCAGGATGGGGTTTAGGGCCCATAGATGTTCCAAGGAAATCTTTTGCACTTGCATATTCATGAATTATTGGGAACATGCCTCCCATGTTTTCCATGAAGTACAATATAATCTAGATAGATTGGTAAGACTTTACAACAGGATAGAGGTTGAACTCCATTTGCCTGTTTAAAGCTAGAGTCCTTAATTGAAACAATAACAAAGCGGCCACACCGCCTCTGTTTTGGTAAAAAGCTGAGGTATGAGCCTGGAGAAATGTTACCACTCTCAAATTCATTGACAGAGCTATGGATGCAAGGACTGACCATCCATGATATCAAAATTATAGTTTTAACCATGTTTTGAGACTATACAGTATGTGTTTACATTTACATTGTTTACAAACATTGGAGTAAAACAATCTTATATTTTGTGTTCTGATGTGGTATGACAGTTGAACTACGCTCATTAGGCATTTATAAGTTATATTCTTCAAGAATCAATGGGTATACAGTATATCATACATTTATACGTCCAAAAATGGATGAAGACTCTAAGGATTATAGCTTTAAATCTGCCTTGTTCTGCTCTACTGATCTGTGAAATATAGACAAATTGCCTGCACAGGATGACTTGGATGTTTTGAGGCAGATGTAGGATCTTCATTTGAGCCAGTTTGCTACAGCAAGAAAATAATCCTGCAGCAACAGGAAATCCACATTTTTGTAGGGGTTGATATACTTTTCGTTAGGGCAAATCAAGCCTGAAATTTCTAAGTGGAAATTACAAACTTTAGAAGCTTTTTTAAACCTCTAGTACAGTACAAGTTTGCATTTCCTGCCATGTAGGAAAATTCTCAGCAACAAAAGAGTGATCACATGAAGATCCTACATCTGTAAATATGGAGACCAAAGATGAAGGCCAGGCTGGAGATGATCTCTGTGAGCTGCAGACAGATTTATAATTAATCCTCTCTTCACTGAGAACAGCCTACCTGTTTACTCAGTGCACTAAAGGATGTTGTTGTTATTTCAGTGTTTTGTCTCTTTCTTTCGAAGATGTCTAGATATCTGTGTCTGTGTCTATTCAGACCTCTCCAACCCACATCATGTCTGAAGTGCAGGTTGAGAGCATTAATACCTCTCTCAAACACAGCAGAGGAGAATGGAACAGAACAGGCAAACTAAACACGTACAATTCCTATTTCCTTTGCTGGGTTAGACTTGGGTGGGTTTTACCTTATTTCATACCTTTCAGTATAATGAAAAAGTCGGTCAGTATTACCCAAAGTGTAGGTAATGCCGTTTCCATTTCACTGGTCCTCACTTATCATTTGATAACACGTATTTCATGTTTCCATGGGTACCTATTTGTGTGCTGCTAAACTATTGGGTTGTTACCAAGCCATGAACAGTCACTTCATGTCACACAGGGAAAAGTTCATTGACAGGAGGCCATTTCCTTTGAATCAATTGATCACTCAGGGGTGAGTTCACCACAGGGTTTCTACCTGCACATTAATCTCTCTACCTTGAAGGTATTATTGAGCCAAGGTT